AGTGAAGACGGGGTAGAGAATGTTGGGCAGGCAGCCGTAGATGAGGCCGACGCAGACGTATTGGGCAAGCAGACCGAGCACTTCGCGGCTCCGATAGTCGGGCGCGCCACCGGCGCGGAGGGCGCCGTCTTCGAGATCGACCGGAGTCTTGCCATCGTCGTAGTCGTCGCCCGCTGGCTTGTCCTGCGTCGCCGAGACGTACGAGACGCGTTCTTGGAGCTCCATGGCACCAGTGCGCTTGGCTTGCATCTTGGTCGTGGCAAGTTCAAAACTGAATGAAGTGCGAAGTGTGAAGAGGACTTGGGACACGCTGGACCCTTGACGTTTCTCGCCGTCCAATGGTCTGCTTGAATCAGAAATACGACCTGGAGAAAAAGTTGACGGGCAAATTGTAGGGCAGTCAACGTATGTACAAGGGTGCGCGCCTCGCATGGGTGCTACCACTGTACCACCCCTGGGCGACCGTTGAAAACGAAAATGGTCTCTGCGCTTCCTCTTCGTCACGAGTGCGCATCTGGTGGCTGCGGGGTGCGCATTCCATTCACTTCCATTCGCTGGACCGTATCAAAGGACGGGCGGCAACGTGCAGTATCGTTTCGCTCTCGTGGCCGGTGGCGTGAGAAAACGACCACCTCGGGCTTGGGTGATTCGCAATCAGATATGACGCGTTTCTTATCCAAAGTGCAACTCTACACCGTTGCAACGCGCCTTGAAAGACTCGGCGAGAGCTCTCTGAGAGGGGCACCGACCGAGCAAGTCGACGATTGCCGTGCTTTGCGCATGGTTAACACTCACTGTGCAGCGCGAGCTTCGCGCGCTGCGCTCTCTGACGACGTTCTCGTCGGGGGTCAGGGATTCAACAGCACTCCACATGTCATCGCTACGGTCGCTGCTTCAAGCCCGCTCTACGTAGGACCTTACCACGCCGTGTTGCACTCATAAGCTGCAAGACCAGTACGGTATGACGAAGACGTCAATCCGCTCTCACTCATGTATAATGCTCTTCGAAATGAAACGCTTCTAAGCAAACGATCGGTAACGCTTAGCCCGCCAACGCCTGACTTTTGAATCAGATGAACGTATGCTGCGAACTCGGAACGACGCTTCTCAGAAAACAGGATTGCGGGGATCGCGATGGATGGATAAGACGGCGCCATTATGTATGGTATATATATGAACGTGTTTCGCGTTATCTTCGTTGTTACAAAGAGTTCGCATACGTAGAGACTAACAATCTTCTTCTTCATTTGTTCACCGGGCCGTGGCTGCGCAGGCGGCGGCGCGGGGGCTCGTCTTGCTCTTCTGTAGTCGCCCGGGGGCGCTTGTGGCCGCGGGTGAGGGCCATGACGACACGCTGTGTAAAGGCCTTCGAGGATTTGCCGTCGGCGGCAAAGCTACGCAGTTTGTTGAGGTCCTCGAGAGACGCCAGCGACTGAGGCTGCGTTTGGAGGTCGCGGTGCAGGACGATCGTTATGTGTTTCGATAATGCTCGGGGATCACGAGCGGACCTAATTGAAGTATAGTGTACCAGCAGTTACACTACACTATCATGAGGTCCGCTTTCTCTTTGGTGTGCCAAGGTGATTCGTTTTCTTTGCGCGTTGCTTCGGCGTCGATTGCCCACGAGATGAGACATGTATCGCTGAACGCTTTCGGCGGCGATAAGGGCTCGCTACCACCATCTCGTCAGCTAGGAATCTCGTTAATCAATGCCAGCATGTTTACATGCAGCTTATTTACCTGCGCGATGCTTGGTGCAAACGTTGGCAGCTGTATAAAGCCCCGCTCGTCGTGTTCCCAACGGCCACACTGGTCGTCGATACGATGTTGTCGACTCATATGTGATTGTTTGTCAGTGTGCGCAGACACGAGCGATACATGTCAGTCCATGAATTCAGTCTCGCCGGTTCTATGGCCTAAGTTGCAGGCAGAAACACTTCTGTGATAGCACTCCATGCGTAAGGTGTGCAAGGGCGGAATAGTGCCGATGAGTCATGCAACATGTGTTTTTTAATGGGTACGTGCGCCAGATGTTCTACGCGCCGCGTTGGATAGCGGTAGTCCACCATTTTCCATCACTGCAAGCCGTGACAGTCAAGTCGTGCAGTCGCATGGTCCGAGATACAGGTCATAAATGCACCGACCAACTGCTTGATCGCGTTCACGCGACAGCTCGTCTAGCACCGACGCGTACAAGACCTTGCGTTCCCCGGCATCGGTCAGCGCCGACAGACTCTTACCATTGCCTAGCAACGAGCGTCAGTGCAGGCGTAAATGTGCGACGATGAGAAAACCCACGGAACGTGAAGCAAAAAGAGGCCCTTTTGTTGCAGTGATCGTCGGGATCTCAAATCCGTGGGTAGCACAACACGGGCTCAGTGTTACCGTGCATCTCTAAGGTTCAAGTCATTTGGTAGATTAGTTGGTCTACTTGTCGGTTGGTCGACACAGTGGAGGCGGTTCATTGACGAGCATCCGTGTAGAGTTGCGGTCGATACTTTATAGACCGTCAGCAGCTCAGTGCTCACAAAGCCCCGACGGAACCCGGTCGATCGACCTGCATCAACGAGTGATTTGATTACGCGAAACGCATCGTCCAAGTCAAATGAAGGCGCATCGGTCCTTCTCTAAGATCTTGGTCAACAATTGCCGCGTGTTGTGTCTGGTTTGGTCAATCCATGCCAGGCCGATGCAAGGGGTATCGCTGGCGAGACAAGACTCCAGGAAACGAGTAGCCTAGAGTCAGTGTAGTCTCTGTGTGCGTGGTGTAGATAGGATAGGACTAAGTGCCATGTACGGATGCTGTCCGGTCGTGACCCTATAACCCCTGTTGTAGCCTCTTGGCGACGGTCTCATCCGGCACAGCCTATCATTCTCTCCACGGCGCAGACCTCCGTAGTCTCACTCCTCCTTTGTTCTCAATCTGCCTTCGTGGCGTAGCGCAATGCAACTGCCTGCTTCCTGGGAGATGGCTCTCCCCTCGCTGCATTGTTTGCGTTGCACCACAAAAACCACCACACGCGTCAATGCAGCGATGCACTCTCGCCCGCCCCATGCCAGCCTTCCAGCATATGGGTGATGTCCCAGAGCTCCCGACTGGCTAGCTACCTCGTGAAGCTACGCAACAGAGATGTAGTTCTCGACTGATCGAGCTGGCTATAAGCACAGCAATGCGCTCAACATTGTGCTGGAAACGGCTGGCTGCGAAAAGTCGTTAAAATGCAAGTAAACACATGACACTACATTAGGCTCTAGGACTTTACACGGCAAAGCTCAGAGCTAAACAGAAGAAAGCTTAGCAGCCATCACCGCCAGCAATGACCAAGCACGACGTCGAAGCAAACATCGAGAGGATGCTGCACGTGATCGAGTAGACAAGCATGCAGAAGCAGAAGATGAGGACTGCGCCGCCGATAATAGGGTAGCTGCCGCCGTTGCGCTGGAGCTCGTGCAGCTGAAGCTTCTGCGATGGGAGAAAGTAGGACGTGCAGGCCGCGATGATGAAGCCCGAGTAGTAGATCATGTACGTGTACGCGACTTGGTTGCGCGCGTCGTCGGTGTCCGAGGTGATCGAGTCCTCGTCGACTCGGAAGTTGGAGTAAATCAAGTTGGCAAGCACTGGCCCGACAGCCGCTGGGAGGTTCGAGACCGTCGTGAGGAGGCCGTACACGATGCCTTCGTTGCCGATCTCGGCGAGCTCGACAATGACGAACGTCGTGACGATGAAGAGAACGCCTTGCGGCAGCATCTCGACGATGGGCACACCGAGGTAGAACCACTGGTTGCGGATGATGTTATAGATGGTGCAGTACTGCACGATGATGTCGATCGCGATCGTGGACAGCGTGGTCGAGACGACAACGATGCGCCAGTTCCAGTTGGTGCCCCAGCGACCGATGGCCGTGATGATCGCGGCGAAAATGAGGTTGGAGACAATACCCATGATCTGGCTGTTGAGGTTCTCGACCTTGGCCCACACAAGCTGGACGTACGGCGCGGCCGTCGACGAGAAGCCGCCGCCAAAGAGGTTGTAGAAGAAGTTGAAGAGCATGATCTGCCACATCGCACGCTTCTGGACGAGTTGCCAGACCTGCGCGAGGTACTCGGAGAACGGCGCCGCGACCACCTTGTGGTCCTTGATGAAGAAGTACGTGATCGGGAGCATCGCGATGCACGGCACGCAGAGGATGATGTACATCGTGTTGAGGCCAAAGTCCCACGTGTACGAACCGGCAAAGCGAGGCGAGTTCATGCAAAAACCGACAATGGCGCCGACAATGGTCGTGCAGATGGTGCGCGTGGCGTAGACGAGCGACTGCATGCGGCCACGGGTTGCGATCGGCTCGCGCTGGGCGTACTCGACGACCAAGGCGTCGGCCGGGACGTCGGCAAAGAGGTACGAGATCGTCGCGAGACCAAAGAGGATAGCCATGACACCGCCCTTGTCCTTGGCGTTGTAGTTGACCGTCGCGTTCTGCGCGTCCGTGCGCTCAAAGGCCGGGGTTTCAGCGACACTCGGGTCGCTGTAGTACGGGAGGTCCTTGTCGATGAACGTGATGACGAGGAGGAAGCAGAGGCAGCACGTCCAGCCGATCATCATCCACGACTTGCGGCGGTAGCCCTTGATGGGCACGCAGTCCGAGATCATACCGATGAAGGCCTTGAGCGACCAGCCGATGCCGAGAAGCGTCTTGGCCGAGTTGTACTGCGCGCCCGTCATGTGGTAGTAGCCCGTGATGACCGGGTACAGAAGCGACGGCAGCGTGCCGTAAATGAAGCCGACGGCCACGTACTGCGCGAGGAGACCAATGACTTCGCGGCTCATATAGTCGGGGGCGCCACCCGCGCGGAGGGCACCGCCCTCGAGCTCACCGGGGGTCTTGACGTCGCCGTAGTCTTCGCCAGCGGCCTTGTCTTGGGTTGCCGAGACGTACGAGACGCGTTCTTGGAGCTCAATGGCACCCGGTCGCTTGGCTGCCATGGTTGCTGTTGATGCTGAGAAGGCAAAAAGGAAAGTGAGATTGTGAGTTCACCGTATTGGTGTGGCAGGTGTTTTGTAACCCTCCAAATCTGATAGTGAAAGAGGTACCGAGATGTACGGTCGGGCGTCGTCTGTAGCCACGAAACGTTGAAGGTTGGAGCACGTTTCGACGATGCACTGTCCCGTCCACTCACGAGATCGGATCAGAAGTGGCGTGTACCGTCATCTGAGAGTAGTAGAAAACTTTGACTTGAACAATGTATAGTCTCATCAGTGCCAAGCCAAAAAGCAAACATATATGTGATGGTATGTTGCTACGCTGCTCCTGCGCACAGAGAAATCATCCCAAGAGAAATATAGCATGGGTATGGTTGATAGCTTGGGTGTTGTGCAGTAAGGGAAACGCCGTCGAAACCCCGTCCGACTGTAGGCGTCTGAGTCGCACCCGCGATGGAAAAAAGTTGAAGTAGCGTTCGCAGATGAGGAGCTTCTTGAAGAGCAGCTCGTTACGTCGCGCTGGTGCAAACGTGCGTTAGAATAACAAGCGCACGGACCCTCCTCGATTGACGTACAATTGCTGCTGACGGTACTATAGTAGCCAGTGCATTTTAGCCCCAGCAATAACCGGCGGCAACAATGTACTTCCCTTGATTGGACTGAGATCCTCGAAGGGGCCGCTTCTTTTCTTCTTCGCGCGGCCGTCTTTGTGGTCCCCGTCTAAGTAGACAGGCGGTCGGAGCGACCGAACCCAAATCGTGGCGGCCATGGAACGCCATCGGCGCCGGCAAGAGCTTGCCGATAGGCTCTTGAAGGGATCTGGGTGCACCAGCTTGCTCGCCCTCCCACGTTGTTTTCTTCGACGTCCTACTGTCGTCGCACGGCGGTAGCTCACAGCGGTATACAAATCGTTCATGAAATTTTTATACGGTGTTTGCCATCTGCCGTACTCAGACCATAGCACCTTGTGGGTGCCATCCAGCATTTGACACGAAAAGGGTTCAAAGCACCCTTTTTTGTACGTTGCCACGGAATTCGCACAATTCAGACAATACGCCGACGGTTCGCGTTGTTGATAGCACGCTAGAATGCCACCTATACTTATCTAGGCGATTTTCGACGAACCGGGCGCATCGATTTCGCTGGAAGTAATCTCGCGTCCACACAGGCGTCCAAAGGGCAAGCGGAGAACTGCAATTTCGCGTGGCTGTGTGCGCGTTGTCGGTAGAAAACAAACGGAGCCACGCAAAACGTCGCTCACGACAAGTTTGTACTGTGGCCTTTTTATACCGGGCTGCGACTCCCGTGCATTACACTAGACGCGATGCTGCTACCCTTGATCATATCTTCGCAGAGAAACTGGTGGCAAAAGTGTGGCAGCCAAAACCCATGGCGTCGCCTCGTTGTGAAGTGTAGCGTATTTGTCCGTCCCGGCTCCAACATCTGGAAGGTCGTCTGTCTCGAAAAGCTCGCTCGGAACGAACAAGCAGACGCGCTATCTTGGTTCATGTGGTGCGTGCGTCGTACACATCTAGCTTGCTGTCAAGGTTAATCGAGCTGCGCAGATGAGCACCCAACTGCACCCAATGCATGGCGTGTGGTCGACCTACAGGTTTCAGAGAACGTCGTTGCCCACAAGATTTTTCATGCCGTGAACACCACACATTTGCAGTACCGAGACCCATTGAGTCTGCCGCATTGGCTAAGGCGAGTTAAATCGTCCCAGTACTATTAGCAAGTGACTGAATTACAATTGCATGCGCTAGCGGCAGCAGGATGTAATCAGTGTATAGTTCGAGCGACCGGATCGTACATCCAGCGGCTTCTGCTACACTGTGCAGCCTCATCATCCAGTGTTTTCGTGTTTCGACACACTGTTTCCACACACAGTGTATTGTTTGATGGAGACAGTGTTTGAAACGACAACGCTGTTTCATCCGGAGTCTTTGTACTTACTTCCCACGCTTTCCACGCTACGATCGTCAATTGGGCGGGGGGAATTCACAGGTCTCGACTAAAGCTTTTAAATTGCTACATTAGGTTTTAGGCCTTGAAGCCGTCGGAGTATAGAGCTCAACAAAAGGAGGCTCAGCAGCCGTCGCCACCCGCGATGAGCAAGCACGACGTCGAACATGGAGAGGATGCTGAACGTGATCGAGTAGACGAGCATGCAGAAGCAGAGGACTAAGCCGACGATGAGCGGGAATTGACGGCCCGTGCGCTGGAGATTCTGCTTCGGGAGGAAGACCGCCGTGCAGCAGGCGATAAAGAAGCCTGTGTAGTAGATGATGTACGTGTACGCGATCTGGTTGCGCACGTGCTTGGTGTCCGAGATGATCGCGTCTTCGTCAACGTCAAAGTTGGAGTAAATACGGTTGGCAAGCACCGAGCCAACAGCCGACTGGAGGTTCGAGACCGTCGTGAGGAGGCCGTACACGAAGCCTCCGTTGCCGACTTCCGCGAGCTCGACAATGACGAACGTCGCGACGATGAAGAGGACGCCTTGCGGTAGCATCTCGACGATAAGCACGCCGAGGTAAAACCACGACGTGCGCAGCGTACAGTATGGCCGCTAGACTTGCGAGTCTTGCTACAGGACGAGACCGCTCTTGCGATCCGAACGACCGCGCTTGGGTGCTCCGGCGTGTCCGCATGTCGTTCGTGCTGAGTGTTTTCGTCCCCGTCCTACTGTCGTTATAAGGCAAATGGTCATTTACAGACCGCCAATCTATATTTTATACGGCGCCAACTCAGATCATAGTCCTCTTTTGTCAACCGAGAACCCGATTGCAAGAAATTCGCACATATCAGACAATAGGCAGGCAGCGTGCCCTTTTTGAGCACCCGTATGACCTACACATACTCATCTATGCGAATTTGCATTGACCACACAAAGACGCTAGGTGGGTCGCGTTGACACATCGATAGATAGGGCGTCTGTCGGATTGAACGGGATGCATTACCATGGAGGTTAACCGTAGCGCAGCTGCACGCGAACGACCGCGTCCGAGTCGGAGAAGACGCCTCGGTTCACGACCAGCGGCATGGCGTCCGTGAGGCACTTGTCGATGCTGCGAAGCGACACGTCGCGGTCTTCGGTGTCGAGTACGTACTTGGGCGCGTGCGGGAGGAGGTACTCGACGCCGCTCGCGCGGACGACGTCCCACATGTCGAGTCGCTTGTCCTCGAGTTCCGACGGCTGCTCGACCGAGAGCGAGATCGTCCACTTGTGCCACTGCGTGGTCGTGCCCAGCGGGATCTCGAGGCCGCGCGGGACCTTGTGCTGGAAGACCGGCTCGCGGAAGAGAAGGAGCTGGCGGTCGTCGGTCATGAACGACTTGGTTTGCTTCTTGAGTGTGATCCACGACGCCTTCATGTGGGGCTTCATGACCTTGAGCTGGAGCTCGAGCATCGGCTTGTCGCGAATCATGCGCTCACCCATGCGCTCGTGGCACACGCGGCGCAGAATCTCCTTCCAAATGAACATGGGCTGCGGCGCCAGCAGCGTCAAGTCGATCCACACCGCGAGCGCCGAGTGCTGCACTGTCTGCAGCACCGGCCCCAGCAGCATGGTTTCGAGCACCTACGCGCCGTCGTCACGAACCGTCGTTTTAAACAAGAAAACTCGTACGCTCGCGCACTCGGTGGCTTCCTGCCCGAGGTTGGAGAGGTTGTTCAAGTAGCCTACCCGCCTTGTCATCTCAAAAACAGAAAGCCCAGACGTACCCGCGCCGTACATTTCGTGCAGCAGCGGCATGAGCTGTCGCCGGAGCTTCCCGCGCGTGCTCCACTGCGGCGTCGTGTCCTTCATGTACGGCACGCCAAAGACATGGGCAAAATCAAAAATCGCGTCCTTGTCGATCGCGAGCAGCGGGCGCCAAATGCGCACGCCGTTGACCGTCGACGACGTGCTCATGCCGTTGAGCCCGAGGAGCGACTGGCCCTTCATCATGTTGGAGATGACGTTTTCCTGCACGTCGCCGCGGTGGTGGCCCACGCACATGCCCGGAATGCGGTGGCGCGCCATGATCTCGGCGTACGTCGTGTACCGAATGTCGCGCGAGATGCGCTCGTACTCTTCGCGCTTGGTCGTCGCGCGCTGGCACTCGTCGATGCGCCGCACGTAGCACTCGATCCTGACCAGGTTCCGTGACGCGCTCCATCCTCAATAGTAGGCGTCGTACCCGAGCGGCTTGCACCAAGCCTCGACGTACGTAGCCTCGGCCGTGCTCTCGGCGCGGTTCTTATAGTCGATGTGCACCGCAACGACCTGGGTTCGATTGAGCGACCGGTCGACGTGGGCGTGTGTACCTTGAAGTTGTTGTAGCGCGGTGCAAGCTTGACGAGCAAGTAGGCGATGACCATCGAGTCGACGCCGCCCGAGAGCGAGATGCCAATCGCAGGGCAGGCCGGCGACCCTGCGTCCATCGCGCTGAGAAAACTGTGCATGAGCGGTGTCAGCACGTGCTTGGGCAACAGCTTGTCTTCGTCCGGGTGCAGAAAGGCCGCGCGCTCCAGAATGTCAAACTCGTCCTCGCCGCCGTCGTTGGTCACGACCGACGTCGACGCTGGGCGCAAGTGCGCTTGGCGCTGCACGGTCGTCCGCCGAAACTTGGACAGAATGTCCGTGTGCTCCGAGAGCATGGCCTAGTACGCATGCGAGTGATGGACCGTGCTCGGACATGACGTCTACCTCGCGACGGTTGATGTGCTCGAGGACGGACGCGAGGCGCGCATGCGTCGGCGT